CCGGTCGTGGAAAAGTACAGGTGCCGCAGATGGGACAGGAGGTGGGAGCTTGGTGACTGGCGTCAAGGGTCTCCTAGGGCCCCAGGTTCCCAGCACGAGGCATCCCTCGTGGCCATGGAGCAGCCAGGATGGGAAAGGCACCTTGGGCAGCTGGGGGGGTGGGGGAGGGCGGCAGGGCTCTGCGGCTCTGGAGCATCCGGAATGGGGGCCGGGAGGCCTTGTGCCCTGCTCTGCGGGCCTGGCTGTGGGTGGAGGAGGCCCCGGGCCCGGGCCCAGCAGGTGGACAGGAGGTGGAGGGGGCAGCCCTGGGCCCCCAGCCGCCTCACTCCCCAGCCCTCCTGCCATAGGCCTGTACCCCTCTTCGCCTGGGCCTGGGGCCCCCCTGGCCTGCCCTCTGCCTGGGCTCAGCCTGCTCCTCTCGGCCTCCAGCCCCGGGGCCTGCTTCCTGCCCTCATCCTCCGCCTTCGTTCTGTCCTCTCCCACCTCTTTTTTTTTGTTTTCGGTAGCCGATCGAACTCGGGTCCTTGCGCTTTAGAGGCAGGTGGGGAATCCTCCCTCTTTTTCTCCCTTCCTGTTCTCTTCCTCCTCCTCCCGGAAGGCCCCCCCCCCCCACCGGCCAGCCTTAGCTTATCTCCTCTCTGCCCCTCCCGGCAAGGCTGGGATGCAGGGTGACGGAAATGTCTAATCTGAGACTCAAAGAGCAGCAGTTAGGAGGCGGCCTCGGATTCCACAGGCCAGGCCCAGGGTGGGGCCGGGGGTGTGTCACCTAGCCTGGCCTCTGCTGCTGCTGTGCTGCTGCATGCGCTGAGTCATGGGACCCTGTCCTGTGCACGTGTGTCTCGGGGACACAGGAGGGTGGCAGCAGGCGACAGGCAGTGGGGACAGCATGGCCGTTCACTGGGCATGCAGAGGAGGAGCCTCGGTGGTGAGCAGGGCTGGGGCTGGTTTTTGGGGACTCCATGACTGCTGGGGGGAGGGGGAGGGGGGCTCTGCATTTGTGCCTGGTGACTGTCCAGTGACAGAGCCACACGACCTTGGGGAGCTACAAATGCACTCCCGGGGTCTGGGGTCCTGGATCATCATCAGGGCTTCCCAGGCCCCCGAGTGGACAGCACAGGGGAGGTGCCGGTGGAAGGGGATGGGGTGGCTTCTCTCCCAGCTCAGGCCGGGTCTGGGTGGCAGTGGCGGGTGTGTGCGGGGGGGCCCCCTGTCCCAGGGGCGCCCACGGGTGCTTCGGTTCTGAGGCCGGGTCCTGCACCCCCGATGGGGACTGAACCCTTCAAATGCTGTGGACCGGACCCGGGGTCCCCGGTCGGGGCCTGTGAACGCCCGGGCATAGTGGGCTGCGGCCTCCTTGTGCCTGACAGCGTCTGTGCTGGGTCCAGAAAGCCCACGGCTTCGGCCTGACAGGCAGGTCTCTGTCCATGGTGGACAGGTGGCTCTGTCCACAGCGTGGCCATGGCCTGCGAGCGAGGTGGATGGGGGCTCTGTTTGGCACTGATAGCCATACAGGGAGGCTGTGTCCCCGGCCGGGTCTATGTGTTTGGGAGCGTGGCTGCTGACCAGCTGTCCATTTCTGGCCAGGCAGTGAGATTTCCACAGCCTCGGTGTCGGGGATGGCAGGTCACCCCACAGCCCCCTGGGCCCTGCCGCCTCAGCCCACCCAGCAACACTGGCTTTTTAGCAGCAGGAGTATCCCAAGTGCCAGCCCAGCCAGGGCAGGTTTGTGACATAGGAGCCCTCGTCTTGAAATTAAACAAAAGAGGGCCGGCCAGCAGCTCAGTTGCCATGCTCAGGTTCCGGCCCCAGGACCACCACAAGCTAAACAAAGGAATTCAGTCGCTACACCTGGCCCTGTTGATGGAATTGGCCGATTCCGCCAGAAGCAGTCGCAGCTTCTGTGCCATCTCTGCCTGGCCCCCAGCTCTGGCCCTGTATTTGCGAGGACAGGGACAGTGAGGGACACGGTGTCCCCCATCGCACAAAGCCTCTCCAGAAGGCTCGGGGGCTGCTATGGTCTCGTCATCCTGGTTAACAGGGGAAGCAATGGGCCCAGAGAGGTGGAGAGGAAACCTGCGGACACAGCACCCAGGGAGTGGGGCTGGGGTCCCTGGGTCCCTCTGTCTCTCCTCCTCCCCCAGACCCCCCGTGCCCCGTCCCCCAGTCCTGGTCCCAGCTGTGGACATGCACAGGTGACGCAGGTGCAGTGGGGCCAGGTGGGGCCCAGAGCTCTGTCCTCCGGCCCCGACTGGCCTGGCTGTCCTCCCATGCTGTCTCTGCCGAGGTGGACTGGGGACTGGGGCCCTGGGGCTCACCTAGGGGATGCTGGGACAGACCTTGCGGCCCTGTCAGGGAACTTTGGGAGCCGCACCTGGTCCCCACCCACAGCACCTGGCCTGGGGCAGCAGTCTACTGCTCTACCTTCCCCCTTTTGGTTAGGTTTGATTTCTGTCTAAAGTAAAAAAAAAATTTTTTGGTTTTTTGAGATAGAGTATTGCTGGGTAGCCCAGGCTGGCCTTGAATTTTTGCAATCCTCCTGCCTCAGCCTTCTGAATGCTGGAATGCCAGGCATGCGGCACCACGCCCAGCCTAATTATTATTTTATTTTGATTCACATATAGGAATTGTCCATACTGGTGTATAATTGATTGTATAAGCACGGAGTGATCCACACGAGTGTGGTGCTGGGGAGGACACACTGCATTTTCCTTACCTGGTCATTCGCCGGTGGACGCCTTTGTTAATTCCGTCTCTGGGTCAGTGGCCCCGACTTGAAGACTGAGTGGTGGTTACGCTTCCTGAGGTCTCCAGGTCCTTGGCTCTGGTTAGAGACACTGAGGCTCTGTGGCGGATGAAGACAGTCCTGCCCCTGCGTGGGGCTTTCTGGGCTCCCCGAGGTTGGGGCCACTGCTGGGCCTCAGTGTCTGTCTGGTTTTTCCCTGGTGTCCTAGAACATGCAGGCCTCAGCGTCTCCATGTCCCCTTGGGCAGGATGCTGGGTCCCTGAGGCTGCAGGACCCCAACATCCACTGTGCCCCCAAGGGGCTGGCATCTCCCAGATGCCTCTGTCCTGCAGCCCCTCCTTCCCCTCCTCCGATGGCCGATGGGGGCCGGGGCGGGGCACTAGCCTGTCCCTGAGAGCAGCCATGGTTTTGGACAGGGAGGGAATCAGCTGAGGCGGGCAGGTTTTGCAGGGTGAGCAGTTACTCTTACTTCCCCACATTCAGAGGAAACTGGACTCCAGCGACAAGCCTGTGGCCTTGAAGCAGAGTGGGAGGGGGTGAGGGGCAGAAGCCACGCCCCCGCCCCCCAGGAAGCCCCTCAATTCGACTGTCACAGAGCACGGCCGCTCGGGTCTGGCTTCGGGGCCGCCCTGCTCTGTAGCCTGTCATGGTGCCCTGGTGACCCAGGGCTCCTGGCCTCCTCCCAGGAGAATTGGGGTCCGGGCCGCGGGCCTGAGCTCCCGACAAGCAGCGTCTTTCCCCCTTCTGCCTCCCCGCAGGGCCTCATTGTCCCTGGGTTGGACTGGCCTGTGTCCTGCCTGAGGATGGGGGACTGGGAACCGCATCCTGGCCATTCCGCTCTGTCCCCGTGGCCCAGCACTGTGGGGGGCTAGGGGGTGTCCTGGCCCCGCGGTGGCACAAGCTGGAGATGCAGGGATGGGGAGGGGCAGGGGAAGCTCTGTGGCAGGCACGGGGGATGACGGGGAGTGAGGCGCTCTGAGCTCAGCACCCCGGCTTGGTTAGAGGTGGGAATCTGAGGTCGGTGCAGTGCAGACTCAGGGGCCCTCGTGCCGGGCGCAGCGATGTGTGGGTAAAGACCAGATGAGAAGTGTGCAAAAGTGAAAGTTTGAATAAACTATAGCAAAAAAATGCATCGTGATGAATGAGTGCAGAGCAGGAGTGAGGAGCAACCAGGATTTGGGGGGGGAGGCTCTCACCTTGCTCGTGACAATCAATCCTGTGAGGAGTCCGAACCCAGAGTGGCTGGGGAGGCATTTTTGGTTCTCTGGGTGTTTTGTACCTGAAAGCTGACAAGTGGCTGAAAGGGGAAGATGGAGGCTGGTCCTGGAATCCGCAACATGTGGTAGCCATAAAGGCCCGGCAGCCCACCCAGAGGGCTCTGCATGGCGGGCCTGGGCACAGGCAGAGGTGCAGGGGCTGGGCCGTGGCTGTCATCAGAGCTGCACACGGGCTGGGCCAGGCGGGCGGAGAGCCAGGCCTTGGGAGCCCAGCCGCAGCCACACTCCCAGCGGGGGTCCCCGCCTGCTACCCCCAGAGCCAGGGATTCGCAGCTTCAGCTGGAACTGGCGCCTCCTTGGGGCGGCCCTTTGATTTTCTCAGATGCCAGGCTTGTCTCGAGCTTTTCAGGAGCCAGGCTCTGCTGCTTCATGCACAGCAGGCGCTGGAGGGGAACTTCGGCAGCATGGCGGTCCTGGGCACCCCACGTCCTGGCTAAGGCACACCCTCGTTTCCGGGTTCCAGCCCTCTTCCTCCTGCCCTGGCATCTTCTCCCCCTGCATCCTAGGGTCCAGTTTCCCCCCAAAATCCCTTTTCTGTGATGGGTCCGGACTTGGCACTGGAGGGCGAGGGGCAGCCCGTGCCCAGGCCGCAGCCCTTTCAGTTGTGCGTGGAATCCTCCTCCCTCCTCCAGCGAGGTCAGGCCCCTTGATTTTCTTACTAGAAGAGGCAGATTGGAAAAGATTGGAAAAATAGTAACTTTCCGGCTTAGCATTTTTCTTCTTTCCTTCCGCGTGCCTGCCTGCACTCCTGGCCCCGCCCGTGATGCGGGTTCACGGGTAAGGGTAACAGTCGGGATGCGCAAACTGCCAGAGGCTCCGAGCCCGTCTGGGGGCCCTGGGCGGGTGCTGGAGAGGCCTGGGCGCCAGGCGAGCCCCTGCCAGGCCCGGCTCGCTCGGTCGGGAGACGCGGCCCCCCCGCCGGAGGGCGGTCCTGCACCCACGTCCGGCGCCGGCCGCGCTGCTAATTCGTGTCAGATGCGGAGCCGCGCGGGCCGGCTCCGAGCTCGGCTTTGTTCCCGGCCGTGGAGCGGGCCGGCTCGGTCTCCCAGCTCCCTGGTCCCCGCCGCCCCGCGTCCCAGTGGCCATGAGGCTGCGCGCCCTGACCCCGGGGCCGCCGGCCGGGCCCGCCTGCGAGGCCGGGGGGCACGGACGCCGGCACCAGGTGAGTGGGGTGGGGGCGGGGCCCGGGTGCGGGGCGGGGGCGCCCCGTGCAGAGTGTGTCAAGGTCATGCGGGCGCGGCCTTGGGGCGGGGCGGGGGGCGCCCCTCGTCGCTTTCCTCTAGGCGGGATGGAGTGGGATACCTGACCACTGCTCAGATTCCCGCCCGCACGCTCCTGCAGGAGCGAAGGCGCCAGGGCAGTGCTGATGTGCGGGCAATCCGAGGTTCCCGCCGGCGTGGGTGCACCTGGCAACCCGTGGCCCACAGGAACGGGTTCCTGGTGTTTGGATCAGAGGGGTGCAGCCCCCCTCCCAGGTCCGCCCACGCCTAACAAGCAGGCGTGTAGCTCACAGCGTTTGTTTTCCTGGAAACTTAACAAAGTTTGGAAGAGTGCGAACTTGTCCGTGTCAGCCAGGTACTGGATCTTCGGGGGGCCGCATTCTAGTTTGGGGTTCAGCAGCCAAACGCCGGGCTGGAGCGGGAAGTGTGTGCTGTGGGTGGCAGGGGAGGCGCCCTCCAGCCCCAGGCCTCGGCCCCTGCGTAAGGCCTCCCGGGGCCTGGGTCAGATCTGCCAGGTGGGCGGTGTTCGGTCCGTTTCCTTTCAGCTTAGGATCCGGGCGGGGCCGTGTGTGGATCAGCGTCTGCCTCCCCAGAATGCGCATCAGATCCCCTTCCTAGGGCAGGGCTGGGTATTTCCGGAAAGGGTTGCTGGGGCTTGTGTGGCTGCTCTTGCCCGGGGGACCCTGAGGGAGAGGCCCTTGCACAGTTTTGCATTCCCGCGAGTGGATCATGTGTGTGGAGCCTAATTTTGCAGAGCTGTTTCTTTCTCCAGGGCCCTGGCCCTCCAGCCAAGCGCCCACTGCTGCGACCCCCTGGGAGCCCTTAGAACCAGCAGCCTTGCCACCCCCTGGCTGCTCCTGCAAAGCTGGACTCCTGACAATTAAATGCAATTTAGATTCCTGCACTGAGCCCCGCTCCCAAGCGCCAGCCCCGCTCCCAAGCGCCAGCCCCGCAGGGGTCCTCCCCACCCTGCAGGAGGAATGGAGCTCGTATCAGGTGAAGACAAGGCTGTCTACCCGCCTGGCTCCCTCACAATAGAGACGTTATGTGCAGATGCGTGGCAGATGTTCTGACCCTGCCTGGCCCAGCGGAACCTAACAACCTAACGGCACAGGGCCGCTGCTGTCCCTTGAGGCTTCTGTCAGGGCCAGTGGTCCAGAAAGCTGCAGGGAAACAGTGCCTCTTTCTCCCAGCTTGTAATAAAGGTATCTGCCTAGGATGAACGGTCGCAGTATCCCTTCTTGGCCTGCAGACTGGGCAGTTCATGTGGCACAGACATCAGTTGAGGCAGCGTGGTGGGGCAGACAGGACAGAGGGGACCCTGGGGAGGTGCGGCCAGCACAGTGGAGCAGTGCATGCCCTGGACCTTGCCCCTGGGCTGCATTTCCCGTCCTCCTCCTGTGAGAGTGGGAATTATGGGGTGGCACAGAGCCCTGCAAAGGCCCCTGGTCACTAACAGTACTGTTATTTTGCTTTTGTAAGGCACTGAATGCATGGCATTTGCTGCCAGAAAGACTGGTGCTCTCTCTGTCCCCCCCTCCTTCCCTCTCTCCCTCTCTCCCTCTCTAGAGCTCTCTGTTTTCTGAGACAGGGTCTGGCTGTGTAGCTCAGGCTGGCCTGGAACTCACAACAAGCCTACTCTTTTAGCCTCCCAAGTGCTGGGATTACAAGCGTGCACCACCGCACCCTGCTTAAAAAAAGGGACTGTTAAGGAGGGCAAGTGGAAGTAAAAAAGCTAGATGTGGTATGTTTGGCACCAACTCCCCATGCTGAATGCAGTCATTATATACAGCAAACGTGTTGGAATAAGCATAAAAATGAAACATCTGAGCTTAATGGGAGCACAAGGCCAGTGCTTGAAGTGCAGACGTAGGAACAGCCGGCAGTGAGCGCCCTCCATACAGCACAGCCGCTGGCTGTACTGCGCTGGTTCTCGGCAGGGCAGTAGAGGCAGCAGGGCAGGTAAACTTGAAAACATCAGGTGTTTGGGCTCCACCCCCTCCGGGGCACAGGTTTGATCGGTTGGGTGGAGCCCAGGCTGAGCTGGCCGCTTGTTCCATTGCGGGTGCAGGTGTCTGTGGGTTTATAGAGCAGCTGGTGCGAGCCAGGCGGAAGGCAGAGTCGGAGCAGGGCTCCTGCGAGCTTCAGCCACCTCCTGCTGGTGACAGCCTTGTGTGTCGCCTTGAACACACAGACATCGCCGTTGAGGGTCACAGTGCCAAGGCCCAGCGAAAGGACTTTCGGGCGGGCTGTAGAATCCATCACCGTCGCCGTGGGAAACTGCAGGCGCCTGCCCTACCGGAGAGGAGGGGGCTTCATGCTGGCTCTGGGAGCTGGGACCTCCGCTGTGGTTGTGAGCCCCTGTGCACTTGCCTTGTGAGAGATGGTAATCAGCTCTCGGGAGAATTTGGTCTGTTGAAAATGAGAAATCAAGGTGTTCATTCAAAGCCCTATATTAGTTTCTCATGACCCCAAGAGTGCATTTTAATTGAAACCCCATTTAGGATTTTTAATCTGAAGACCTGTTTTCAAAACGGTACAGAAATGATCTAACTGTCCCCATAAGTGTGTGCAGTACTTGTTTTGGCACTGCCAAGTGCTGTGCATTTTATACATGCTGTGCACAGTCAGCTTGGCAATTAAAAACCGTGCTGGTGCAGGACTTGGTGGTACACATCTGTAACCCCAGCGTTCGGGGAGGCTGAGGCAGGATGGTTCAAAGTTTCGGCCCAGCCTGGACAACTTGGCCACTTGGTGGGTCACTGTCTCAGAATGAAGAATAAAAAGGGCTGGGATGTAGGTCAGTGTGAAGGCTCCGAGGGTTCAATCCTCAGTACTGGGGAAAAAAACTGCTGGAATTTTGTCTGAGATTATACTGAATCTATAGGTTATTGGGGGAAACTCCATCGTAATTTTACTGAGTTTCCACATCTGTTTGATTGCCCATATCTCTTCTGTTGTTTAGGTCTTCAGTTTCTTTCGGGAGCGTTTTATGGTTTTTAGTTTAGGGCTGGGGATTTAGCTCAGTGTTTCCGCTGCATGCCTTGCGAGCGCGCAAGGTCCCGAGTTCGATCCCCAGTACCAAAAAAAAAATTATCACCATTATAGTTTTTAGTTTATAGGTCCTCTTCATCTTTTGTTAATTTATCCCTGAATATTTAATATTTTTTAGGCCATTTAAAGGGGACATACAGGAATATGGGTGAATTTGAATGCGGATCTTGACCTGTTCAACTTTGCCACACTCTTAGCTTAGTTCTGGAAGCTTTCTGTCGATCTCATCAGGTTTGTCTTTGCAGATGATCATCTTGTCCAGAAAAGGCCGGTTTTACTTCCTTTCCTGTTTTATTTCCCTTTCTTGTCGCAGGGCACTATTCAGAAACTACAGCAATGTTAACTAGAGGCGTTGATTGCAGGATCTTTGCTTGATCCAGACCCTAAAAGGAAAGTATTGTCCTTTATCTTGGAGTATAATGTTTGCTGTAGCTTTCTCATAGGTTTTTTTTTTTTTTATCAGGTTGAGGAAGTTCCTTTCTATTCCTACTTATCTCTGAATTTTTTTAAACAATACTGGGGATTGAACCCGGGACTTTCACACTGAGCTACATCCCCAGGTCTTTTTTTTTTTTTTTTCTGAGATAGAGTCTCACCAAGTTGCTGATTTTCCAGGCTGGGCTTACACTTGCAGTCCTCCTGCCTCAGCCTCATAGAGTTCTGGGATTACAGGGTGCACCATCGTGCCAGGTGGGCTGTGAATTCTAATGAGGAAAGAGAGGTTGGATTTTGTTGGGGGTGTTTCTGTATTGATCAAGAACAGTTATCCTTTTCATTTTACTGGTTGGTTTTTGAACACTTTACCCAAGCTTGCATTCCCAGGCTAAGCCCAGGTTGCCGGGATGTGCTATGCCCTGGATTGTGATGGATAACCCACGGGTTGTTTACAAGTGTGCCATTTAGTTTGCAAAACATTTGGGGATTTCCCAGAGGTTTCTGTTTGGGGTCAGAGTAGACTGTTCGCAGGATTTGAGCGCTATGGGTTTATTTAGACTTGTGCTATGTCCCTGAATATCACCTTACTGGGCCCCCAGACACACTTGCAAAGAAAGAGCCCTCTCCAGCTCCAAGTCCAGGGCTCCGTCCAGGTGAAGCTGTTTGACACTGTTCAGGTCTTTCGCTTCTTGCTTCCTCGGTCTGTAGAGTATGAGAGAGGGGTGTGGTGGTCTTCTTGTCTTCTAGGTCCATCGTCGGGGGCGGGGGAGTAGAAATTCTTTCTCCCTGAGAGAAAGCCCGAGCTCAGGGCTGGGCTGGTTTCTTCCCAGGCCCATCCCTCACCTGCAGACCCCTCTTCTCCCGAGTCCTCTGGGGCCCCGGGCCCTGTGTAGTTCAGCCTGGCCTTGAATTCACTGCGATCCCCCTGCTTCAGCCTCCCAATCGCTGGGATTGTGGCCATGTGCCGACACAGCCGACAGTTTTGGTCCAGTGAGAAACTCTGTTGTCCCTCCACATGTGGCGTGTCTTTTTCTTCCCTCTGCTCCATTTGAGCTTTCCTCATTTTCTGTGATTTTCAGGATTGAACGCGGGGCCTCATGCATGATAGGTCAGCACTCTGCCACTCAGCTGCTTCCCCAGCCTCTCTTTATTTTTATTTTAAGACAATCTTGCTGAGCTGCCCAGGCTGGTCTCCCACTTGGACTCCTCCTGCCTCAGCCTCCTGGGTAGCTGGGATTACAGGGGAGCGCCACCACACCCAGTTGAAGGCTTTCTTCACTGGGCCTGCACAGTTTAATTGTCATGGGCCCGGATGAAGCTCCTGGCACCTTGTGCCAGAGGTTTGTTTAGCTCCTTGGCTCTGCGGGTTTGCAGTTTTCTTCTTATTTTGGGACAGTTTTAGCCATTATTTCTGCAGATGCCATGGCCCCTCCTCGCCTTTGCTGCTCCAGTTCTGCCTGCTCAGTCCTCTGCTTCTGCAGTGTCCGGTCCTCAGGAGCCCCCGGGGGTTTTTCACTTGAGTTCTATGCCTCCTCCGGGCATTTGCTTCCAGACTGTTTTCTGGGTCTCGGTCTCTTGCACGTGCGTGAGGCAGTCAGTGACCCCGTGTCCTCGCTGCCTATTCAGGCACCTCGGGCCATCCCGGCTTTAGTTTCTGCTGGTCATTCTCATTGCAGGCGTGATTCTTCTCTCTTTAAATGCCCATCAAGCAACATCCTAGAAGTAGACCCACTTTTGAGAATTCTGTGTCTGATCTCTCTCCCTTCTTTCCTTATTTATTTTTTATTTAAGTTTTTTTGAGACAGGGTCTCACTCTGTATTTCAGGCTGGCCTTAAACTCAGTATGTAGCCCAGGCTGGCCTCAGACTCCCAGTGATCCTCCTGCTTCAGCCTCCTCAGCACCGGGATTATGTGCATGCACCACCATGGCCTGCTCCTTCCTTTTTTAAGTTTTGAGACCAGGTCTTGTTCAGTTGCCCAGGCTGTGCTCAAGCTAGTGACCTTCCTGTCTCAGCCGCCCAGAGTGCTGGGATGACAGGCTCGTGCCACTGGCCCAGCTGTGACTGACTCCGTCCAGTCCCCCAGCTTGACCCTTCGTGCTGCTCCCACGTGGACATTAGTCACACTCGGAGGATGGCGTTGGGATCGAATTCTCTGGGCTCAGAGGGTAGGGCATGAACCTGGTCTCTCTGAACTCGAACTCAGGGGTGACAGTTATTTTGCCTGGCACCCACGAAGAGCCCAGGTGTAAGGAGGAACCACGCACATCTCGGGCTGCTCTTCCCATGTGTCTGGGCCCAGACTGCCCCGGAACCGAGTGGAGATTCCGTGGCGCCTCAGCGAGGCCGGTCACTGGGCATTGTGTGCTGCTGCTCGCTGACGGTGTCCTCTAGAGCAGGCACACTGAGTCTCTGGAGGCGCCCGGGTTTCGTGACACTGAGTGGGCAGCAGGAGCTGGGGTTCAGAGGGGAGGGCGGGGCATGGCCATCCCTGCTGCCGCTCTGGTGACCGCGTGCTCAGTCCCGGGGTCACCGCCTGGGGAACGTCGTGTTGCCGGGCTGGCTTCTCGCTCTGTTTGCTCTGCAAAGCCCTGTGTGAGTTTCTTGCAGACTCGGCTGGATTTATGAGCTCCTGAGCCGCAGAAGAGAGAAGCAGCAGACGGGGAGCTGACGCGCTGACAGTTTCTCCCTTTCTCTTTTCAGCCAGAAGAATTCACCGTGAGTCTGCACAGTTTTAAGAAAAAGACTTTTAAAAAACCCAAAGCCTGCGGAGTTTGCAAAGAAATCATCAGCGGCCAGGGGGTTTCGTGCCGAGGTAAGCGTGTGATTCCCCTGGCAGCCCGGCCCGCAGGGAGTGAGAACACGCTCAGGGGAGTTTCCGAGTTAAACCTCGGAATTTCCCTCTTTCGCCTCTTTCACCCCACTGTCCTTGGCCTGCCACAATCATGGGCTGTGAGCTCGCAGGGAAAGGGTGCCGGAGGGGACGGCCACCCCGCGTTCCTGGGTTCCTGCAGTGGCTGGACTCCCCTTTTTTTGTTTGTTTTAGGTTTTTGAGAATGAATCTCGCTATGTAGTTCAGGCTGGCCTTGAACTGGAGGTGATCCTCCTGCCTCAGCCTCCAGGTGCTGGGATCACAGGTGTGCACCGCCACACCCAGCTTCTTGTGGGAAATGTGCAGAATCTTGTGGTGCCACCTGGCAGAAAGTCCCTCAGGAGAGGAGAGGGTGCTAATGCGGGACAGGCTCCTGTGAGTGTGTCCGGCATCCTTTCAAAGGCAGAAAGCCCTTGCCAAGGTGGGGAGGCGGCCCCGTGCCTCTGATGCCTCCATCTACACTCAGGGCCCCGGCTGTGCCCAGGGGTTGGCGTCCACCATACCTCTCCTGAATCCCCGGTGCCCGCCCTAGGCCTGGAGGTTGCTCTCTCCTACTGGAGCCCCAGTGTAGCGTGCCACCCTCCTCCTCCTGTCTCAGCGTGGCCTCCGGGGCCCATGAGGCCCTTGTCCTGGACACATCCCTGCTGCGGGAGGCTGCACAAGGGCCATGGCTGAGGTCGGCTTCCTGTCTGTGTGTGGAGCAGCCCCCTGGTGCCAGGGCCTCCCTAGGGCACCGATGGCGGAGTGGGGACACAGGCCAGCTGCAGGCCCTGCTGTGTGCACTGGGGTGCAGGTGGGCCCCCCCAGCCCACCCAGAGAAGGAAGGGAGGAGCCGAGCTGGGCAGGGTGGCCTTGGGAGGACAGGGACCCAGGAGCAGTGGCAGTGGTGACCTCGAGGGGAGAGCGGCCCCTTCAGAGCATTCGGGGCTGAGTCCCAGCAGGAACTCCTGGGACGACCCCTGGTCCAGGACCTGGGTCTGTGGCTGAGTCAGCCCCCAGGGGGACATCGGTGACCCAGAACCTCGAGGGGTGCTACGTGCTGCAGGGACGCAAGTGCGAATGTTGCTTGTGCTCTGGCCCTTGCAGTGCTCAGCAGCTGCTCTGGAGGTGCCATTATCTTATCTGGAAGGAGAGGAGACTGGGAAGGCGAAGGGTGGAGGGGCTTTTGTTCCTGGAGGAGAAGAGGGGGAGTGGACGAGCTCCTGCTGCTGGGGACGAGGTGTCCTGTCGTCGGTTTATCTCGCTGTCTGGAGACTGAGCAGTGGCTGCTCCGCTCTGGGTGACTGGATAACAGGACCATGGGCTCTGCACTCCCCCACAGTGCCGCCCACAGGACCCGGCCTGCAGGGGCCTGGCCGTCCTTGGGCTCTGTGGGTGTTGACATCGCTGCCATCTCCCTGCTCTGGAGCGTGACGTGGTGTGCCGGGATCCGTGTGCCAGGTGCCCCGTGCTGGGCGTGTGGCCATCCCGGGCTGCCCATTCTCCTGAGTCCCCCGGACTTTACTGTTCTGCCTTGTTGGGAAGTGAGTTATAGGCCAGGGGGTCCCAGTCTTGACCTCTGCCGCAGGGTGGATGCAGACAGAGGCGCTTGGGGAGGGGACTGGGCTCGTGGGTGCCTCACTGTGGGAGCTGGGTGGCCGTCCTGTGACTAGAGGCCACGCCGAGTGATTATCAGTAGCTCATCCTGCAGCTCTTTCTCCTTTTTTCTCCCTCTCCTTCCCTCCCTTCCTCTCTCTTTTCCCTGGGGATTGGACCCAGGGCCTTTGCTCTGAGCTACAAATTCAGTCCTTCTTATTTTTTATTTTTTATTTTTATTTTTTTGGTACCAGGGATTGAACTCAGGTCCTTGCACTTGCAAGGCAAGCAACGGAACCACTGAGCTAAATCCCTGGCCCTCTTATTTTTTATTTTTAAAAATTTTTAAATTAAAAAATTTTTTTCAGTTCTTGAGACAGGGTCTCGCTATGTAGTTCAGGTTGGCCTTGAACTCACTGTGTAGCTCAGGCTGGCCTTGGACTTGCGGAGATCCTTCTGCCTCAGCCTCCTGAGTGCTGGGATGAAGCTGTGTCCACCATGCCTGTCTGTGACAGATCTTTATGGACAAGGTTGGCTGGGTTTGGCTGTAGGGCACCCCCCCCCCCGGAGGGAACGGGTGCAGACGCAGCTCCTGGGGTAGGGCTGTACCTCTTGAGTGCTGGTGGTGGTGCAGAGGTGGTGCCCGGGCCCCAGCTCAGGTCTCTGCTTCCAGGGCATTGTGCAGAGCCCTGGGCTCGAAGGTGTGCGGCCGCCTGGCTTCCTTTCTGTTTTTTTTATTAGGGCCCGTCAGCTTGTCTTTCGCCTCTAGTGGGTTTCTTTACGCAGTGGTTAATGCTGCTCACTGGTCGTTAGGAAATTCCTGGCCCATGACGCAGCTCAGATTGCCAGATGTTGGGGCCCGTCGCACACCGTCGCCAGGAACCCCCACATCTGCTCATGGCACTAGGGGTTTCTCAGGAAGGTCGTCGTGCTCCTGGTGAGGGACCCAGGTCTTCCAGTCTCATTTCCTCGGGAAACCTCAAATCTGGGCAGTGACAGCTTGCTGTGACCATTTCTGAGAGACCGACACTGCTCGCTGGTCAGGAATCGTGAATAAGCGTGAAAACGCTGTCCCGCAGCTGTCACAGAAGCACATGGCCCAGTGCAGGAAGTGCCAGGCGGTCCCCTGGTCCAGCATGGGACGAGGTGTCCACTTGGGTCTAAAATGCATGATTCCTGCTGTGTCATCAGGGTGGCCCTCAGACTCAGTGCCCGCGAGGGAGTAGACAGAGGGCTGACCTAGTGCAGCTGTGGACATGGTTGCACTGGAGCGGCTGCTCATCACAGGTGGCTGAGCTGACCAGTGGACACGGGAGAGGCGGCTGGGGCTGGTGCGGGAGGACAGCTTGGGGCGCCGGGCACAGGGGAGCTGGGGAGGCCGAAAGAGCCTTCCAGAGTGCGTGAGGCTGGCGTGGGGCGGGGAGCCAGGGCCAGAGGTTTTGGTGCTCGGCCTCAGGAGGTGGTGACAGAGAGAAGCAGGAGGAGCACGGTCAGGTCTCGGCCCGTGTCAGTGGCCACTGCAGCCCTGGGCTGCTGGTTACAGCACTGATGGAGCACTGTGCCTGTCCAGCGCTGCGTGTGTTTCTCCGGCACTGGGGATTGAATCCAGGGCCTTCACACTGAGCTACACTCCCAGCCCCTTTGTATTTATTTTGAGCCAGGGTCTTGTTAAGTTGTCCAAGCTGGCCTTGACCTTGCATCTTCCTGCCCCAGCCTCTTGGTTTTAGAGGTGTGCTCTGGTGCGTCCAGCTCTGTTTTGTGCAGGTTGCAGGCACCCAGTGGGTCCCTCAGGACCTCTTACACCCAAGGAACTTACAGCCCCGGAGTGTGGGCGCTGTGTCCTCAAGCTGGGGGACACGGTGGTCAGGACCTGAGTGGGGAATGAGGAACGGAAGTCCCCTCTTCCTTTAAAATTCAAAGTGACTTACAGATTTGCATCCCTAATCTGAGACTCCACCATCCAAGCTGCTCCAAGATCTGAAACTTAGATGCTCGAAAAATTTCAGATTTTGGAGCATTTTAGATTTTGAATTTTAGGATTAAAGATAGTCAGTAAAGTCTCCATCAGTATTCCCAAATTGGAAAAAGTTGGAAATCAGAGCCACTTGGGTCGCAGGCATTTAGGATGAGGGACTCTCAGCCTGTATCTGTCTTGGGACAAACAGGACTCCTGGCCCACAGAGGAGGGAGGGGATGAGGAGCTGCGGGAGTGAGTGCCTCTGTTCCTGAGACACACGCACTGCACGCCGTGTGACTTTGACCCCACCATGAGGTGTGGAGCAGAGCAGCGGGCTCGGGTCAGCCCGGAGACCAGGGCTTCCCAGTGTGTTCAGAGCCCACGTGGATTCTGCTCCTGGGGCCACGGCACTTTCTCAAGAGGATTCTCCCTGTCCTCCCTCCGAGTCATTCCCGCACATAAATCAGAGCCCGCCAGGCTGCCGGGCGCCAGGGACACCGTGAACCTGCTGTGCGTTTGTGTCTGTGCTCTGTATGCCCCAGGGTGCTCTGGTGGTGGTGGTGGGGTTTCCGCCCTCTCTCGGGTGCCTCCCCAGTCCAGCCATGTGTTGCCTGGACCATGCGTGCTTGTGCGTGCTTGTGCACGCGTGTCCCCTGCCAGTTCCGGCCCAGCTGCAGCCCTGTGGCTGTGCCTGCCCTAGCCCTCCTCTGAGGCCTGCCTGGCCTGGTCCAGTCAGGGTCCGGCTTTGCTGGGTCTCAGGCTCCCTTGGTTTGGAAGTTGCCCATCACGTCTGTGTGCTGGACCCCAGAAGATGAAGAATGAATGCTTGTTGTGCTGCATAATTTCAGGCCTCAGAGGCCCAGAACGACAGTGCAAAAACCAGATCCAGCAAAGATGTGAAGACAGTAACAGCCGAGTGTACTGACCACCAGGCCCTGGGCCCCTCACTCTGCCGACCCTTCCTGATCGCAGGGTTCCGTAGCAGCTGGTCTCTGGGACAAAGGCAAAGTTGCTTCCATCCCCGGGGCCCATAAGTGACAGAAGGGGGCTTGTGGCCCCCGGAAGTGCTGTATACTTTTGCCTATGGAAACAACTTTGTAGGTTCAAAGTAGGGCCCCCTGTGACACCAGGGTAGCTCTGAGCAGAGCATAGGCCCAGAGAAGTCCTGGACCTGCCTGGGGCCGCCCAGTCAGACAGGCAGAGCCCTGGGTGGGCTGGCACACTTGGGGTGGCCAGGGACGGTACCCCATGGCCCCACAGCTCCCGTGGAGGCTGTGCTGGGATTGTCCCTGCTGTGGGCTCATTTCCGGGTGTCCCCTGTTCCATCCTCCTTGCTAGGGGAGGGCCAGCTCACTGTGCCTCATGGATGCCAGGCTGGTGACATCCACGTGGTCCCAGCCCTCTGCCTACACTGTCAGAGCCACGAGGACACAGGAGTGTGCAGTTCACATGGGGGCCGAGGTGGACAGTCACACAGACATTCAGTTTGTCCTGAAAGAAATGGACTCAGGGCAGGATCTGAACTCAGGACTCTCATGCCCAAAAGCTCCCATGGGAGTTTCTGTCCCTCCATCTTCTGTCCCCGCTCTGTCTTGTGTCCCAAGTGCAGAATTGCTTTTGTGGGGGACGGGCTGCCCATGGGCTCTTTACACTGGGGTTTCTCTAGGAGGCAGGGAGTCTGGAGATGCAGAAAGCATTGCTGACTCTGGGAGGCTGAAGCTAGAAGATGGCAGGTTTGAGAGCAATTTGGCAACTTAGTTTCTTAGAGAGACCCTGGCTCAAAGTAAAAAACAAAAAAGGGCTGGGAATGGAGCTCAGGGCAAAGGCCCTGGGTTCAATCCTCAGGGCAGCAAAAGAGAAAAAGAAAGGTATCGTTGTTGAGGCTGCCGACCCACTCACATTGTCTTTTCTTTTCGTCCAGCCTGCAAGTATTCCTGCCACAAGAAATGTGAAGCCCAGGTGAGCATTCCGCGCTTCCTGGGGGACTTGTGCAGCGAGCTAGCTGCTGCTGAGTGGTACTTGGAGCAGGGGGGCCTTTGGACGGCAGCCACAGAAAGCCGGGAGTAAACCCACGAGCTCTGAAATCCGCGCCTTCATTATAGCAAACAGTCCTCAAGAATTTGATTTCAGATAAGATTTCGATCCCTTTCCTGGGCTGCTTCTCAGTGACCAGTGGTCCCGCTTTCTCCTTGCCAGGCAGCCGCTCCTCGGGGTGCTGGGTGGGGATGGAGGGGCGTGGGGTGCAGGCCGGGCCTTCAGGGCATCCCTGGCTCATGGTGTGGGAGCCAGCACGGTGGCCCAGGGGTGGCGCTGCTGAGAACGAGGGAACTGTGGAGCAGAGGTGGTGACGTGGTTTGCTTGTCCCTGTGAGTGTCAGTTCCAGCGTGATTCCCCAAGGGTTCCAGGCTGTGCTGGGCTTTTCTGGGTTTAGATTCTGAAGAATGGGGTTTAGGGGACCCTGGGGAAGAGGTTGTGGTTCGCCCTATTCTCCTAGTTTCCCAGATACAGTGGGTGATCAAAAAAACAAGAATTTAAACACATATGTTGCTTTTGATCACACTGCATCTGCTGTGGATCTGCAGTGAGGTGGGCTGAGGTGTAACCTGTGGCTGTGGCCCAGGGACTTGGGGTGTTGGAGAGTTGGGGTTTTGCAGCTGCTGTGGACCTCAGGAGCCTGAGTGTCCCACCCTGACCTCGTTCTCCAGGCTGAGGCTGTGCTGGCGACAGACTCCAGGTTGCGTGTGTGTGCATGTTTGCACGTGGGAACCAGAGCACTGGTTTCCTCCACTCTGTCTATCATCTGCACACACAAACACACGTGCACACACATCCACAGTGCACCCACACATGCAAACGTACATACACGCACGCACACATATATACTCATGCCTCTCATACCCACACACGCAGGCCCACACAGACGGAAGAAGCAGATGGGCCTGGCCCGGCTCTCCAGACCCAGATAGCCCTGCCTCTTCACCGGGACTTCCCAGCTGCAGCTGTCCCCGGCCGTGTCCTCCCCACCCCTCCCTTCCTGGAGGTCACGTGGCCACCTCCCCAGGCTCCGTGGGCTGAGGGAGCAGTTCTGCCTCCCTTTCCGCACCCTCTTGGAGCAGGCTTCCCCTTTCCAGTAGGCAAATCTTCCACACAGCAGGCAGGTCTGGTACCCGGCGAGGTTTATTTCAGGGCTTTGTGCCCACAGATGGGCTCCTCTCTGGGTGCTGCACCCCGTTATTCTAAGAGGTTGTGTCCATGTGGGGCTTCCAATGTGGTGGTGAGTAGGAGCCACCCCGCCTTGGGGTGCAGCTCAGACCTGCAGGTCCCCTTCCCTGGAGGGTCCAGCGCTGCCCCTCACTTGCCCTTGGTGTCCTGGTGGCGGCCCTGTCCTGAGGCTTGTTCCCTGTCACTGATGCAGCTGGGAGAAGGGGTCAGCCGCCGTCCTCCTGTCCTGTGTCCCCCGTGTCCCCTGACTTGCAGAAACAGCTTGCCCTTGTCCCTGCCCCTCTGGCCAGTTGGGGGCTGAATTTTTGTGTTCCAAGGATGTTCCCAAAGCCTGAACGGCTGCATTTCTCCCCGCAGAGGTTGGCTGGGTGCTGAGGGGTAAACTTATAAATTCCTATCAGATGCAGGCAGGGAAAGGTATCGCATTCTTGCTTTTTGATAGCTTGGAGTGGCAGGAGAGAAAGCGCTGGCAATAACAAAGCACCTTGTCATTCCTAAAACACCCTGTGGCACTGTGTGGGCTCCAGGTCCGAGGTTCCAGGTGGCGCCCTCGGGGCAGGGCTGGTCCTCCAGGGGCCAAGTGGGGTGCAGTTCCTCCCACACTGGCACCGAGGGTTTGGGGCTCTTTAGGATGCTGTGTATGTACATCATGTGTGGGCTTTGGGTCTGGGGTCACCGTGTATGTGTGTGTACGTGCGTGTGCGCACGTGTCCACACAGCAGGCTCCTGAGGCACAGGCTCTTGGGCAGTTGTGAGGCATTGGTGGGAATGTGGGCTGGGGTCTCGGGCACCCAGGGGCCTCTGCTGGCAGGTGATGGCCCAGCTCTGTGCCCCCCTCGTGGGCCCCTGCCAGCATGGGTGGAGGTGACCGGTGCGGTCACTGGTCTGTGCTGTGTGAGGCCTTTGGTGGCCCTGGGGACAGGTGATTGGTGGGGGGATTGGCAGGGAAAGAGTCACAGCTGAGGCAGTGGCAGCCCCTGGTCCAGGTCACCGTCTCCCTGGGCCACTGGTGGGGGCCGCCACACACCTCCAAGGGCAGACAGGCGGGGACCGGGCTCGGCCCCTGTGGAGACCAGAGCTCCTGCGTCCTTCCCAGTGTGCGGTGGACCTCAGGTCCCCAGTGTGGCACTGTCGGGTGGGGGGGTCCCTGTTGGGGATCAGGCCAAGCAAGTGGAGCCCTCACTGCAAAGGGACTGCGCGGACCCGTAAGCAGGTCCTCAGCTACAGCGAGTCTGTAGGTGCTTGGTGACAGACTTGGCCTGTGGAGATGGGAATCGGTCACTGCGCCGAAGCCTTGCGGGCAGAAGTGTTTGGTCAAGGCAGCCCTCGAGAGCCTCGGGCTCCCTGTGTGAGTAAGGGAATGATTCTTCCCTGTCATAAAAAATGGCCCCCAGGGCCAGGGATTTAGCTCAGTGGTTTCACCGCCTGCTGTGCAAGCGCAAGGACCCGAGTTCGATCCCCAGTACCAAAAGAAAAAAAAAAGGCCCTCTTTTACTCTGGGAGACTGAGACAGGAGGATGGAAAGTTCCAGCCCAGCCTAAGTGACTTAGCAACTTAGTGACACCCTGTCTCAAAATAAAATAGATAAAGGCTGGGCAGTAGCTCAGTGTGGATACCCTGGCTTCCGTCCTCAGGACTGGGGGAAGGAGAGGACACATCTTAGCTGTATCCTCTGTAATGTCACACGTTCTGTGGAGCTAGGTGTCCATGCAAAGCCTGGGGGCTCAGGTCCCAGCACCTTGCTCTGGATGCTGCACTGGCCCTTCGAGCCTCGTGAGCTGTGTGGGCCTCGTGACTTGGTGTTTCCTGCCTTTGACTCACTGGCATGGGGAAGGAGAAGTAGGAGAAACAGCAGTGTTAGGAGGCAGATGCTGGTGAGGAGAAAGGGGAAGGAGGCTGGATGCCGTGCTGCGGAGAGGGAGCGAATGGGGGCCCTGTGACCTGGGAACCCCTGGTCCTTGCAGCCCCTGGCCCCGGGCACTGGCTTCTTCCACTTCCACTTCGGCTTTGAGCTCAGTGCCGGCAAATGCAACCCAGACACCCCCCCCCCCCAGCAGAAGGCTCCGCACAACGAGACCCAGCGGAGCCCGAGCACACAGCCAGGTGTTGGCCTTGGTGCCCTTGAGGGCTCAGGAAGCTGCCACTCCAGGTGCCTGGGCACCAGGGCCCTTGCTGCCCTGGCCCATCTGTGGCCCTTGAGGCCCGGCCCGCACCTCTGACATCAGTGGCAGCTTCTCCACTGTGACGTCCTGCCCTCGAGGACCCTGTTGCTTGTGTCCAGAATCACCATTCCCCAGGCCCCGGAGCCCCACAGTGCCTCCTGCCAGCTCGTTCTACTGGGTCCTGTGGCTTTGGAGCTGGCCCTGTGTGGCTGCCACCCTTTCAGCACTGCTGTGGCAGAGCAGCTGTGCCGGGAGGATTAACTGGATGCTCAGGGCGGGAGCCTGCCCCCCGCCTGGTGTGGAAGTGGTGGGCTTTCGCCATCCGGACCCAAAACTGACCAAGTGTGCCCCACATGCTGGTGTTTTCCCAGAAACCCTGCCCTGCGCACCAGCAGGCTGCTCTGCTCTGTTTCTTGCTCTCCTGGTCCCCACGCGTGTCTGTGGCTGTCTGCAGTCGGTGAGGGTGACAGCAGTCGCTGTGCATTGTGTGCAGCTGGGGGATGTCAGTGGACCCCAACTTGGTGTGACAGCGCAGCGCCCTCCGGTGCCACTGGCCCCCGCCATTGTCATGTGCTGCCACCACTGCTGGCCACTGCTGCCCCGTCAGATGCTGCCAGCCGGTCCCGGATCGCTGGTTAGGGTACAGCAGATGGTCCTCATCAGCTACTGACCTCTGCCATTAGGCTCTGGGCTGATTCAGGGGTAAGAAGTCCCGGTGAGACCAGCACAGCACAGCGTCCTCCCGGACCAACCTGAGGTGTGATGGGAGTGCTGCTTATGTGGCCGCTGCAGGCCTGCGGTTGGTCCATATTTGAACCCATCATCGGTCCATACTCAGGCCATGCTTGGTCCGAGCCATCTCAGCCTCAGGCGGTGCAGTTCACCCCGAGGCTTGGTTGCGTCACCCCAGGGGCTGGGCAGTCAGTCAGTGGGTGCCCTCAGGGTGTTTTCATGGTGACCCCGCACAGGGACAGGCACCTCAGATACGGCCAGGGCTGTTTGTCTGCCGTTTCCCTGCAACCTCGCCCCGGGGGCCCCTGCCATCGTGGAGAAGACCGGTCCAGGCTGCCCACTCGGCCAGGGTTTGTCTGGCATCCTCCTCCCAGTCCCCACCTTGCTCTAAGGATGGAGGACTTTTTTTTTTTTTTAAATGAACCCGGGGCCTCCACAGCGATCTACATCCCCAGCCCTTTCTTATTTCTTGTGTCTTGCTGAGTTGCCCAGGTTGGGCTCGAACTTGAGAGCCTCCTGCCTCAGCCTCCCAGAGTGCTGGGATGACAGGGCATGCCACCAGGTCTGGCCAGGCAGTTGACTTTTAAGCCAGCCCATTGAACCCGCATTTCCTGGGTGCTGCTGTGGGTGGGCCTGGAGCTGGGCCCCGGTGCGGCTTGCTGTCCTCAGGAAGCGTCTGCCCTGCAGACCCAGGACATAGCAGGAGCCTGCTTTGCTGGGTGAGGGTGGCTCTCCACGTATTTGCTCTTCATGTTTGTCCTGACCTTTCAAATTCCTTTAAAAATTAATTGAGGTTATTTTTAGAACAGTTGCGTGTTCACAGTCACATTGAGGGAAGAGAGC